GGGTGGCCGCAGGACATGGTGTGGCCAGCAGGACGTGCTCTGCAGCTGCCTCTTCACTGAGCGCATCGGAGCACAGACTCTGGGTCAGATGAGAAGTCCATCATTCCCACTCTCTGCGTCTCCTCTGTGACACAGGCCGGCACGGTCCCTGCCTCACAGGGTTGTTGGGAGGGTCAGTATGTGCCTTCTGTCGAAGGGGCTTTCGAGAGCACCCCGTGCCAGGTTTCACGGTCTGCTTAGTGCCAGCTCTGTCAACACTCGACTGGTTCCTTTCTCCGTAGTCCCATCAACGTGGCACGTACCCACCACGGAAATCGTCCAGATGCTTGGATGGGCTAGAGCCACGGGGAAGATGGACCGTGGTGATGCTGGCCCACGGACAAGACTGGCTGGCTGTTGGCAGCAGCTCTGGGCCACAAAGATGGAGTAGAGTCTGCCTGGTGGGGTCCCAGTGGGTCCAGTGAGAGGTGTCCAGCTCCCCAGACTGTCCCTCTCTGGGGATGACCCGTCAGCCATGCACCCTGGATGTCCTTCTTGGCTGGGCAGCTCTGCTCGCCCCTAGCCCACCCCTGGGCCGAGCTCTGCCTTCCGAACCATGCAGTGCCTACCTCACTGTACTCCCTCAGGAGGGCCTCCAGACCCCCTCTCCTGAAGATGTCCTCTGCCGCGGAGTCTGGGCACTCCTGCGGTGGGTGGGGCCCAAAAGTTTCCTCCAAACACGCCCCCGCCCCCCACAATTTCTCACAACAGATGCATGGGGTGGGACAGGCAAGATGTGGGCCTTCACTTTCATCGGATTTTACAATGTTGCTCTTCAATCTCTTTCCGAGTAGCTCATTTGCTTTCTAATTGGCAATGATTTTTTAAAAATGTAATCGTGTATGTACTTGGGAATGCTTATGAAGTGGGAAAAGCTCTGATCTACAAATCACTCCTCAGACGTAATGGCATGTTCATGAAGGCTAAATTTAACTATTAATGATGTTGACACAGTCACGTGTCTCACAGGCTTTATGAGTGATTTCATTTTGATTTTGGAGTTTTCTTTTCCTGTTTTAGAGTCTATCAATGTGTTTGGGGATCTGGAGATTTTTTTCATAGTCTTTGGAAAAACTCTTTTCCCCAAACTTTGGGAGACTGCAAGAGCACTCGAGGGCTATGTGGACGGTGGTCAATCGCAGCTGCCTCCAGGCTCGCAGCACTAGCCAGCCTGGGCGTCACCCCTGATTCTGACTCCCCTGGTCTTGGCGGGGCCGTCAGAGCCGTGGCTCTCAGGTCCGTCCAAGCGGAGACTAACGGGCCTCCTGAGCCCCAGGAGAAAGGGCAAGGTCCCAAGAGGCTTATCTGACCCCCACACGCCCGAGCGGGCTTTAAAGACAGAAACCCTCTGAAACTGGGCGTGGGTGGTGGAAAGCGCTCAAGCCTCGGGGCTGTGGGCTATGGGACTTTGAGATCGCCTTTCAATATTTTAAAGTTTCCGTTTCCCCTGGGGAGGCCTTGTAGGTTGTTGTGGGGACGAACTGAGGAGAACCTTGTCACCACAGCATTGCTATGCGCAGCCCTCAGACAGCACGATGTCTTAGGCAACTACCCGGGAGCCCTCCCAGCAGCAACCAACTGCCACTGAGTCAGTGCCAACTCCTGGTGACCCCACGTGTGCCAGCATCGGGTTGTGTCCCAGAAGCCTCGCGATGGCTGGTTTGCGGGGAGAGCACCAGGCTTTTCTTCTGAGGCTCCTCTAGGTAAACGCAAATGCCCGTCTTTGGTTAGCAGCTGTTACCTGTTGACACTGATGCGGGGACTCCACCTGGGGGCAGTTACCACTCTGAGGTGTTCAGACACCTAAGGGGACCCAGAGAGGTTCCTTAACAACTGGCTAGTGACAAAACCTGGATCCGAACCCAGAGAGTCTGGCTCTAATGCCCCCACACCCCACTGAACGTCTGACACAGCCTGCAGGTTGCACACTCGGATGGCTGGCGGCTGCTGTCATCCACGCCCCCCTCAGGTGTGCAGTATGCTCCTGGGCGAACTCATTTGTCCACCGTGGAATCCCTAATCTTCTCGTGATTCCAGAGAGTTCAGCATGAAGGGGGCGAGCGTCAGTTTTCACACCTGTCCCATCAGAGCTTGGAACCCGAGGGCTTTCTTGCCGACTGTGAGCTCGAGCTATGTTGAGTGCAGTAAATCGCGCGAAGGAAGACGGCGGCCTGTTTGGCAAGTTGCTGGGCCCACAGCTTAGTGATGACACCTAGGGACAGGTAACCTGGGTGTCCGTGCCCCAGCTGCATCCAGAAAACAGGAAGGCCTCCCTGTCCCCTTGGCCAGCACTGAGTGGCTCAGTCTGTGGCGGTTACTCCATGGTTGGGATAGCTGTCGTGAGCAGCCGAAATAAGCTACAGGCGAGGAATCTCCTCAGAGGCTTTGTTTTGTTGTCAGTCTGGAAATACACGGATGATTTTTATCCCCATATTTTGACAATTCCTGCAAACCGATGGGTATGCATCTTTTTCTTGGCCCCAGCTCTACTTGGGAAAAGACGAGGCTTTCTAGTGCCTTAAAGAGTCACAGCTTTGGGAGCTCACGGGGGCGGTTCTACTCTGTCCTAGAGGGTCGCTACGTTTCGGCATCGAGCTGATGGCACTGAGTTAACTGGTTCCCCCTCTTGTACCAGGCACAGCTTTAAGTGCTTCACACATACTGCCACCAGGAGCTAGAATCGACTTAACAGTAATTCAAAACAAAAAACACGTCCACTCGTTCAACACTCATCGCAACCTGACAAGATATCAATGCCCCCACTTTACAGATGGAAACACTGAGGCAGAGAAATGTTAAACAACATGCATCTCGTAAACTAGGCCTTCTGGCCCTTTCCTCTCTGAGGGAGTTAAACCGAGGTGTCCTCGTGACCTGCTCTCAATGCTTGCCACGTAGAAGTGGGTCTGAACACTTTCACCATCAGGTGGTGGTGAAGCCGCGTCCCAGACTCCAAGACTGCTGGCTCCCCAGCTGGGCGGAGTTCAAGGCTGAGAGACTTCTGGGAGCCTTCGATTGCTCGGTGTTTCTCTCTGACAGGAAGAAGGCAGCCCACGGCCCTCGCTGATGCCGGTTCGTCGGCCTTTGGGATAGACCCTGAGATGCCTCAGCACAGGGAGGCCTTGAGCCCCTCACCTCCCCAGGTGCTCCGTGCAGATACGAGCTTGTCCTCTGGGGAAGATGGTCTACATTCATGAGTGATGGCATGGTGGTGTCCTTGGCTCCTCTCTCTGTGTGTGTGTGTGACACACACCTGAGTGCATGTCAGTTTCTAAGGCCTCCAGACCTTCCTTGAGGCGCCTCTCCTCTGCCACCATGACTCATCAGGTTCTTGGTCCCCTTGGTCAGGGCCCAATGGGCCCTCGGTCCAGATCCCGAGCTGCCAGGCCTCACTCAACCCTTCCCTGAGAGCCTCACACCTGGGCCTTGTCTGCAGGTACAAGGAAGCAGACAGAGCCCGGCGAGAGGCTCTCCCCTTGCCCGTGGGCACATCTCCAGAGCTCAGTCTTCCCCCTCTTCTTTCTCTGAAAAAGGAGGGTGCGGCCTTCCTGCTCAACATTCCGTGACTCGGGTCATTGTGTGGGTGAGTGTGGACAGAACAAGCTGTTCTGTGAGCACGTCCAGAACTGAACGGCAGGGCTGTGATGTAAACACACTGGCTCCTAAAACCCAAGCAAAGCCTCCACCCGGAGGCCTCCACTTCCAACCAACAAGCCCCGAAAGCCTCTGTTTGGGGCGGGAGTCCCGTTTTTTACAGCCTGGGGGTCGACCACTAGTTAAGGCCGTGGGTGCAACATCTCCATGTTGACTTTTTCCTCGTGGGAAGACGCAGAGGCTGGGATCCCCTCCAGATGGAACGCCTCACATCGGGAGGCCCGTGGTGTCTGCAGCAGAACTGCCTTCCACCCAGGACACCCACGTTTGCTTCCCGGCCAGGGCACCTCATGATGGCAGTGGTGTGGGCTTGGGGTTGTCTTACACACACCAGAGGGAGCCAAGTCAATTCTGACTCATTGCAACCCTGTGAGACAGGTCACACACCTCACAGGGCTTCTACAGCTGTAAATGTCAACAGAAGCCAACTGTCACCTCTTTCTTCCAAGGAGCAGCTGGTGGATTTGAACCCCCAACTGTCTGACGAGTACCAACTGTGTGACCACCATGCCACCTGGGCTCCAGTCATCACCAAGGAGGACACAGTGGCTGCAACATGGGCTACAGCACAGTAGGGGCAGGGGGACGCGGAGGACGCAGGGCTAGGCAGACTTTCGTGCCATTGTAAACAGGGTGGCTCTGCGGCGGCATCTAACAACAGCAAGGGATTTTTAAGGCTGGCCACCATTCCGGATGGGCCTTGCTGGATCTTTGGTGTCCAAGACCCCAGCCCCCTCCGCAAGCCTTCCCGCCTGCAAACTGGAAACATAGCTCACTCTCCCACACTCCCAACACAAGGCTCTTCCCGTGGAATACAGAGGTGTTTGCTGTGAATGCATCGTTGTCTGATCATTTGTACTGGAGTGTACATGACTATCTAGGATGTTGGCTGAAAGCAAGGAGAACTGGCTGTTATTTCTCAAGCTTTAGAGAAGAGAGGCGCGGGTGCAGGTTGAGGCGAAGGGTGGTAACGAGAAAGCAGGTGTGCCCAGCCAGCCTGGCCCTGCCTAGGACAGGTGCATCTCACCCGCCACGTGGTTGCTTGGTTCTAAAGCCATGACTTCCTACCACACTGCCAGGAGTGTGCGCCTGTACTTCTGCCTGCACAAGTGCGGACACCCCGCCCACTCCCACCCCCACCCCCACCCCCACCCGCACCCGGATGGCGCCTTCCCATCACGCTTCGTGTCCCTCCTTCCAGCGCTGGGTAGCGGGGAGGGGCGTCGGGTGAGTGCCTTAGCCGGGGGTTAGCTACTGGCAAACGGTCCAGACACGCGGGGGAGCAGCGCCCCCTGCAGGCGCCCTACCATGTTGCTCTGCGACTGCGTGGCGCCGTACGTGGTGACGCCGTTGGAGGGCGGGGCCGGCTGCGGCGTGTCGGGCTGCACGTACCCGCGTCGGTCGATCAGGCTGCGGCGGGAGAGAAGGGAGGGGAGAGAGCGTGCGTGCTGAGGAGCTGCCCTTCTGGGGGCCGCCCCTCGCGGACCCTGCTCCTCCTCACCGCGCTCCGCCTGCCCACCCCACCCGGGCCGGCGGGGGCACCCGAGTTCCCATGGCTACCCTCCCCTCTCCCCCTACAGCGTCTTTGAGCAGTGGTCCCCGCCCCCTTCCCGCAAGGAGAGCAGCCGGCGCTGCTGACCTTTGCCCCCCCAGGTGAACGCGTGGTGCCCACCAAAGGTGGCGCCTCTGCCTCCGTGGAGACGTTTCTGAGAATCTCCACGGACCGTGCCGCGCTGGGACCCCGGAGGAGTCTGGGATGGGCCCTGTTTCCGCCAGAGCTTACTCCCGTCCGTCCCTCGGGCGGAGTGGGCCTCCGGCAACCAGCTGGGTGCCGGCAGGGCCCAGGCACCCTGACACCGCTCCGAGGAGCCTGCTTCAGCTCCGGAGGCCCTGTGGGGCCTGTCGCCTTGATTTCGGGAAGCAGGAACGACGGCCCAGTGCCTTTCAGGTGGTGGCCTTCAGGTGACCGAGTCCTGAGCCACGCAGGTGCGGCTGACAGAAGCTTCAGCCTCGGGTGCTTCCCCACAGGCTCAGCGACCATGGTGGACAGGGATGACCGCAAGCACTGGCCTCCTTGGAGGAAAGGGCCACCGGCTCTTCTGCTCCCCCAAACCAGGAGGGCGTTGCAGGGTGTGGGGACGAACCCAGAGAGCAGGGTAAGGTCTGCCTGAAAGGGGCCTTGCCCAAGAGGCCTGAGGGGCACTCACCTGTGCACGGTGGCTGGCTAATGGTGGCAGATCCACCCACCAGGTGGAGAAAAGCCCTGCCCACATCCACCGACCAGAACCCACTGCGGCCTGGTGGCACCTGACTCATAGCAGCGACCCTATACAGCAGCTGATTTCTTCTAATCACCACACCACGGCACAGCTCTGCAGTGGGAATTGCTCCAGGTTTCGGAATTTCAGAAGACCCCGAAACCCAAAGCAAGCCCATTGCTGTGGGGTTGAGTCTGACTCACACGTGACAGGGTATGGCTGCCCCCAGGGCTTTCTTAATGGAGGTAATCTTTATGGTAGCAGACTGCAGGGTGGGTTTGAATCGGCCACCTTTCTGTTAGTAGCCAAGTGCAAACCATTTGTGCCACCTGGGGGCGGGGCAGCTTCAACTACCACCAGGTTCAGGAGCACAACTGGGGGAGGGTGGCTGTCCCAGCAGAACAAGTTGGGGTCTTTCCAGCTGGGGTCCGAGTAACAGCAGCTCCCCCTGGGGAGTCTCCTATCCTGATGCAGAGCCAACAGCCGGTAGGGCAGAACGTTCTCACTGAATGAAAATGGAGCTGGGGGGCAGAAGTGCCTGAGCCCTTCATTTTCTGGGGCAACAAGGTCAACAGAAGGGCTTGTCAGATGTCCTTCAGAGGCAGAGCAAGGGCCAGGCGGCCAGAGGCTGCAGGGTGAGTGAGTGCCTGCCCTCAGCTTGCTGCCTGTTCTGCCGGCCTGTGGACTCAACGTTGTCAACCTGACACCTGTGATACAGACAGCATGCTGGACAGGTGTAGGTGGGCCACAGCCTGCTCAGCAGCGCTCCCACTGGCCGGCCCAGCGTTCTCAGTCATCCTCCTTCCTGCTCATCCTCTCAGGGAAGATACTGAGGGGCATGTCAGGGGGGTGCCAGCCTCCTCCCCAATTCACCAGGACGGTGTCTCACACTCCCAGCTTTCTAAGGCAACAATGGAATGGGTCCGTTCTCAACACCGCAGCCCTGCAGGGCAGCGCCCGGTGCTTCGAGGCAACAATTGCCCAGGAACAGCTCCAAAACAGCCTTGGGAGACAGTTGGGGGGG